CATCAGCTTCTGGGGACATTGCATTGCCATTCCTTCAGTCTCTCTTTGCTCCCCAAACCATTCATTTCCCCTCTCCTACAGGGAGAGTGAAAGCACAGCAGGACACCTTGGAAGCGTTGGACAATTCAGACTGGGGGGACCTCAGGAGGTCTCCAGGCAGGCCAACCACCTGCCCAGAGCAGGGTGTGTGGGTGGGGGTGTGTGTATCTGTGTGTCACTGTGTACATGTGGCACTACAGCCAACGGTTTCTCGCAGTCCTCGGTGTGGAAATCATCCCCTGAGGCAAGAGAGCTGCCGAGTGTGGGTCTGCTTTCACAGGTCACACAGTAGAAGGTCCTTCTGGGCAGCTCCTGGTTCTTTTTCAAAGCTCACTCCCATGCCTCCCATCAATCCAACCTGAACAATGGTAAGGAGTCCCATGTGCACTCTTGACAAACCCTTCACCTTTCATGCTTATCTCAAGCACGTAGGTCAGCTCCTTTTTGAAAAAGGAACTCGACCGTTTCTTCACAGGGCTCAGTGACCACAACAGTAAGCAGAGCGTATCCCAGTGGAGAGGAGAAATCATCTCGCTTAGAATAACACGGAAAAGTCGAGCAAGTTTTGGGAAGAGGAGCCTTACCCAAAGTCCAAGCTTACCTCATTCTGAGCGTCAATATGGGCATTGTGCTCAAGTGAAGCTCTGCTGGAGTTTTGGTAGGAACAATAGCAGCCAAGTGACAGGCAGTGTTGCCGCCAGCACCTCTGAGGGCAGGGTTGGCACTGCACTCCAGCAGAAGAGCCACACAGTCTTTGCGCTGGTGCTCTACTGCCTGGAAACAAGACACAAAGGAGGAGTAACTTCCAACATCTACGTTTCTCTCTGCCAGAACTCCCGCATCTTCCCAACACTGGGAAGTACGAGCGTCTTCAAAGATCAGGCAACATATGCCCCTTCCCTGCCGACTACAACACACCTGTTTGTACGCAGCCCTATGTAAAGAATCATGTAAGGTATGTATCGCTCCGTGCATAATCGATAGGCCCAATGTACAACAGGATAACCTATTCCATGTACCATCATCATCAGTGATTTCCCAAAATTGTCACAAGGGTTTAGCTGGCACTTCTTTCCTGCTAGAAACCGAACGACATCTTCGTGGCCGTTCGCGCAAGCAAAATGCAGAAGCGCCCTAGAAATTAAATAGTTTAAAAAAAGAAATATTCAGTTAACACAGAGAGACAGCTGAAGACATTGTCTCAGGCTGTGGTACCCGCCACATGTCGTGGTTTGGGCCACGCACCTCAACTGGCAAAATAAACAAGCCGAAATCAAAAGCTTTCTCTTTCCAGAGCCGGCAGCAGCAGTTGCACACCCAAAGCCTGGGGATGGCTGGGAAAAATCCCCAATGAATCCATTGAGTCAGAAGGCATCTCCTCAGCTGTGTCAATGAGCCTGCAGAAGCAGACTCCTGTGCCCGGGCACTGGTCCCTGACTCCGGCAGGTCCCCTGAGCCACCAAGCACAGCAAAGGAGGCCATGTCTCGGCAGCCCGGAGTCTATGGAGGCTACGTAAGTCTATGGAGGCTGCAGAGCCTGCGTTAAACCCCCGATCAGTCCCGCACCGGACGCATCCCAGAGGCAGAGGGGATGGGATTTCTAACAGCAATAGGAAGGCTGTGGCGCGTCTTTCTGTGAATCCATGCCCTGCTCAAGCCAGCTGCTCAGCCTGGCGAGAGGAAAGGAGCCTTCTCGGCTTGGATGAAGACCCACTGAGCTCCCCAGAAGATTCACTGCAGGGGCCAAGCTGGCCGAGCAGAACAGAGCAGGGCAGAGCGGAGCGGAGCATCGGCCGCCTCCTGCCCCAGCTTGGAGCCGCCCAGAGCCGTGGAGCCGCCCCTGCTCCTGGGGGCGCTTGCGATGGTGCTGGGCTCTGCCGGTTCTTCCAGCCCGGGTGGGTGGAGGCTTCGCTACGGGCACTGCGCGCCCCTTACTGCTTCCTGCCTCCCGCC